ATATATATATATATCCCGCCTTGTCATGCCGCATGTGTAAATATCAATAGTAACAATAGCACGGCAGAAACCTCGTGCAACCCCATAACAACAACTGCACGACAGAAACCTCGTGCATCACAATAATAATAACCGCACGACAGAAACCTCGTGCTTTATCACAACAAGTACAACATCAACAATGACAATAATACAAAGTACGACAAGTAAATCAACACCAAGAACTTTAAATCACAAAGAAATGGTAGAACCAATTCACCATGAATAACCACAGTAATGAATGCTAGGCGTACAGAGAACAACTCAACAAGGGAAAACTAATATGTAGCAACGATCCCACAATATACATTTCAACAACAGGGAATCTAACACGAGTCAAATAATTCCAAATAAAACTTCTTTTAAGGTTGAGGAATTTCGAAGGATACTCAAAAATTCAATTAAGGATAAGCAGCGAAAAGATAATCATAACCTCAATTAAGACTGAATAAATTATAGGATGAGATGATAATAATTCCAAATAAAAATAAGCAGTTATGAAAAGATAGCATGGCAATAGAAGAGATAAGAGTCAAATAGGCCGTAAGAGTCAATCCTAAAAGCAATTAATTCTAATTAAAGCATGTAGAGGTGAAACTAGTAAATAAGAACTTAATCATATCAAGAACAACTTCATACTCAGTGAATATAAGGACCTAAGAACCCTAAAAGGCCAACTTTCCATAAATAAGTCCGAGGACGCACTCGTCACCTCGCGTACACAGACTACAGTCAACATAGAAGACTCAAATCCTAAGGGAAAATTTTCCATACAAGGTTAGGCAAGATACTTACCTCAAAGAAAATAGACCGATACTCAAAAATGAACTTCTCGGGTGAAATGACATCTAGACGGCTCAAATCTAATCAAAATAACTTCGAAGCACAAATAAAACTCATAAGAGACTATTTCGGATCATAAAGTTTCAATCTTTATCAAAATCTAAAAATCAGTCCAAAAGTCAACCCCCAGGCCCTCACCTCGGAACCCGACAAATTTTACAAAACCCAAACACCCATTCCGATATGAGTTTAACCATACTAAAATCATCAAATTCCGATACCATTTCGTCCCTCAATTCATGGTTTTTTATTTTGAAAGTTTTCTTCAAACACCACCATTTTCTTCAACTCAAAACACAAATTAAATGATAAAAATAAAGATAAAATTATGGAATATATTAAATTCTAGGTAAAGAACACTTACCCAATCGATTTGCTTGAAAAACCCACAAAGAATCACTCAAAACCGAGCTCTATAAGTCAAGATATGATAAAAATGGGCTAACCCTCGATTTGAGAATATATTCTGCCTGCCCAGGTATTTGCACATCACGATCGCAGAAGAAATGATGCGATCGCGTAGAAGGAAAATGGCTAATGTCCAAAATGTGCTACGCGGTCGCGGAAGGGCTTATGCGATCGCGTAGTGAAGGAATTATCTGCTGCCCAAAGCCACACTTCATGATCACGAAGCAGAAGATGCGATCGCGCAGAAGGAGTAGACAGACTTCGGCGATCGCGAACAAGGTCATGCGAACGCGAAGAGTAACGAGTACCAGTGCTCAAGGTCGGGTCTCTACTATGCGAACGCGATGGAGGGGATGCGAACGTGAAGAATGGGAAAGCAGACCTTCGCGATCGCGAAGAATAATATTCATTCTCCCCCAAATTGCACTACGCGAACGCGGAAGAAGTGACGTGAACGCGATTAAGGAAACTAGATGGCAGAAACCAGCAGTCCAAAAATAGAAGAAATTAGCCCGTAGCCCATCTGAAACACACCCGAGGCCCCCGGGACCCCGTCTAAACACGCAAACAAGTTTCATAACCTAACACGAACTCGCTTGGGGTCTCAAATCACATCGAACAACGCCGAAAATATGAATCGCACCATGAATCAAACTTAAGAACTTTCAAAACTTTCAACTTCGAAAACTTGTGCCGAAACCTATCAAACCAACCCGGAATGACGTTAAATTTTGCAGGCAAGTCCCAAATAACATAACGGAACTGTTCCAACTCTCGGAATCGCATTCCGACCCCGATAACGAAAAATCCACTTCTGGTCCAAATCTCCAAAAATTTGACTTTCGTTATTTCAAGCCTAAATCAGCTACAGACCTCAGATTCACGGTTCGGACACGCTCCTAAGTCTAAAATCATCCAACGGAGCTAACGAAACCGACAGAACTCCATTCCGGAGTCGTCTTCACACAGTTCCGACTACTGTCAAAATCCTAATGCTTAAGCTTCCGTTTTAGGGACTAAGTGTCCCAAATCACTCCGAATCATCTAGTAATTGAATTCAACCGCACACACAAGTCAATACACATAATACGAAGCTGCTCAACGCCTTATGCCGCCTGACGGAACTTAAATTCTCAAAACGACCAGCGGGGTCGTTACAAGTCGGGAAGGCATACATATATACAAGCCCGTTAGTTCAATTACTACTTTCAAACTTTACATTATTACATGCCATTTCATTATTTGTAGCTCCATTATTATTTACATTACGATTAGCCTAGCGTTTATTACCGGTCGAGCATATGTAGTAGAATATACTAACTCCGAGCTCAAAGAACCAACAATATTTAAAGCCTAACCATGACTACTCCACTCATAAGGTCCCACTCCTTTAATAGGGTTGAGGTTTCTACACAGCTCTTACGCTTGTACGTTATAGACCTTCCAGCGACAACCTTTCTACAGGTTCACCCATTCCCCTACAGACCGAACGCAGTCTTATCAAGGAATGTATATTATTACTTAGAGCCATGCTTACATTTCAATTGCATGGACCATACGATACTTTCTAGGAAAAACTTGGCATAAAATAACTCCAAGTCGAGCCGACTTATTCCTGTGCCCAGCCTCACCCACACGGAAGATGTAAACACAATATACGACCCAATATATATTCACATAAGTCCTAGCAAAATTGACTTAGTTCGTTGAGTTGAATTGACTGTTGGGGTTGATATTATCTCTCTTGATTTTCGTGAAAATTTCTGTAGAAGTTGTTAGACGTGTGTCGTATCCCATTAGACTCGATAAAGGGAGTCAGAGTGGATCGTGGCAAGACTGTCTAGGCGGAGGCATGGCCCATGTGATGCAGGAACGCGTAGGATGGCCCGTGTGTGTGGCGCACCCCTCTAGGGCGTATGCCTTGACTCGACTTGGAGCAAGTTAGGCTGTAGGTAGGGTCGTAGGCTTGGGTTTGTCGTGGGTCGTTTGGGGGAGGCGCCAAATTATTTTTCGCTGTAGGTCTTGGAACCGTATGTCTAGGCTTTGACGTATGCAATTTTTGATCACTACATCACTCTACAATTCGATTTCCAAATATTTCAACAAGATCTAGCCAAGCCTCAACTGGAAGTTGTTAAAACAAATCTCTTAAAATTATTATCAGTGACAATTATAAATAGTTGCTTGTTTGATTTTCTCGTACAGACTAGAGAAATGTGCTCGTAATTCATGTTTGACTGTGTTCAATAATAACAGAATCAAGGCTGAGCTAAATCCAATTGGATCAAAGTAACAGAATCGAGGCTGAGCTAAATCCAATTGGATCAAAGTAACAGAATCGAGGCTGAGCTAAATCCAATTGGATCAAAGTAACAGAATCGAGGCTGAGCTAAATCCAATTGGATCAAAGTAACAGAATCGAGGCTGAGCTAAATCCAATTGGATCAAAGTAACAGAATCGAGGCTGAGCTAAATCCAATTGGATCAAAGTAACAGAATCGAGGCTGAGCTAAATCCAATTGGATCAAAGTAACAGAATCGAGGCTGAGCTAAATCCAATTGGATCAAAGTAACAGAATCGAGGCTGAGCTAAATCCAAATGGATCAAAGTAAAGCCCAAACTAGTCGGCTCATGTCCAACCCTAGGTCCGGCTTGCCACTTTAGCCTGTCCCGCGACGTGTCGAAGGATCGCTGCAATCCACCTGATTCCTGTCTTTTCACTTGCCTTATCTCACGCTCTCTCACACTCCTCTTCACTTTCCACTTTGCTTCCATGGCCGAGCTACAGCAGCCCGACGCCCCCATCACCGCCGCTGCCATCCCTTCCGCCACCGCGACAACCACCACCTCCAATACAACATCTATAGCTCCACCACCTCCCCCATCCGATAACCCTCCAACCAACAACGTCAATAGCAACAACTTAGGCCTCAGTTTGGCTCCGAAACGGCAGCGCCGACCAAGTGTTCGATTAGGCGAGATCGGAAACTCACCTTCCGACACTCACTTCCGACGAGGCCCCAAAACCTGGCGTTTCCATAAGGATCCTACCCTCGCTGCTAAAACCTCAAAGACCCGCCCTTTAACTAACCTCGTTAACGGCGGCGCCGGCGGCGATAATTATGACGACAACAACACCATCGTCGAGAACAACAACAATTACAACTTTAATTTGGGAAATCGGAAGTCGAAATCGAGGAAACCCACGAAGAGAGTGAGGACAAATTGGCATTCATCTAAGTTCGATACGCTCATTCACGAAGAAGCAAACTTTTTCAGGGAAGACAACAATGATAACGAAGAGTTTCGGGAATTCGAGCCGTCACCGGGCTCGGAAAGCCCAGTAAAAGAGCATAGCCCTGTAAACTCTATGGAACACATGGGCCTTCAGTATTGGGATCGGAGGGGGATTAGGACTAGAGTGTCCGAAAGCAGAGACCATCACGATGACCTCAATAATGAAGGAGTGAATTCAGGGGATAAGAGCAGCATTGGAGTAAGGGAGTGGTTGATTGGTTTGGGGTTGGGGAGATACGCACCCGTTTTCGAGATACACGAGGTTGATGATGAGGTATTGCCCATGTTGACTCTGGAGGATCTCAAGGATATGGGGATTAATGCTGTTGGTTCCAGAAGAAAAATGTACAATGCGCTACTCAAGCTGCGGAAAGGCTTTTCATGAGTTGAGTTTACCGTTTAATGATTTTAATGTTTGATTAGGTTTTATTTTTCTGCTTACTTTCCTTTTTGCTCATTAACATGGATAATTAAATATCAAGTGGTGTTAGTTTTCGAGCTGGATTTTTGCTCCTTCTTCTTCTGCCTTTGCTATGTTAGTTATTGTGAAATGTTATTGTTGATATACGAATGAGAATGACATATGAGGAGTACTTTTTATTGATTAAGGAAGTGTAAATTTTTTTTTATATAAATGAACTAGTCAAAATATAAGTTTTAAAGAAGTCAATCAGTGCTTACCTTCAATACACCTGCATTTACTTAAAAGAAATAAAGGAAGTCACCTTTAGGATATGGTGTGTTCTGGAGTATTAATTTGTGTGCCAAATGGTTAGCTATGACCTATGTTGAACGGACTATCCAAAATATTGTTGCATTCGTGTCGGATCCTCCATAAATGCACTTGATGACATTTTTGGAGAGTCCGAGCAACATAGACTATGACTATGTACATTTGAAGCACTTTAGCTGCAAGATCTCCTCTCTAGTCTTCATGTTTTGCGGGTGTTTAGTTCCGCTTCCTTAGTAAGATCCTTTGTAGTCGTTATCAAAAAGAGATCTTCTCTTGTATTAACTTGCATAGAGCTTAAAGAACTTTTCGTAGTAGTTGGAAATTTTAATTACTATGTATACAACAATTGGTGAATCATTTGCCTATGAGAAAAAAATGTTGAATCATTTGATGAAACAAATATGAATGACTTTCTAGAAATGCATGATGTATGAGAGCCTATCTTAGACTTACACTAAGTCTTTCACCAAAGCATACTTCAGATAGTCCCTGCTTTGTTAGCTTCCAACTGTACTATAAAAGATTTCCTTGTAGGAACCTTACATCTTCTTGGTTTGATGATCTTATCGAGAATCACCTTTGCAGACTTAGCCTTCTTCTCCAAAGACTGTAATTTGTCTCATCTGGAGGAAAATAGTTAATAACTTATAAAGAAGAAGCTTCCTCATGCTTAATGATGGTTGTTACGGAATAATTGGTGTACCCATTTTATGGTCATCGTCCCCCGGTCTCGTTCAGTTAATTGATGGAAAAGCTTATGCTCCTATATTTTGATAAAACTCTCATTCAGCTGGGAAACCACACAGGTAATGAGCTTGGAAAGAGAGAAATCCATTTTGTAGAATATATCTGATAGTTGTGACATATGTATTTGATAACATGCTTCTAAAGTGAGGTACTAACTTAGTGTCTAACTTTCTGAGCTTTGTGATAGATATAGTTGAAGATAATCTTTTAGGCAAGATAACTGCATTTCAATCTTCCCCTCTTCCCTAACTAGCCATGCTTGACTGCAATCACCTAAATGTGGGTAAAAGCTTCTCTCTTGACACTCTTGCAAGTGGTTGCACCATTCAGTAGCTGCTTTTGCTTTCTAGTCTCCTAGCTTTGCTTTTGCATTTGTTTATTTTCAGGCAATCAAAGTGTTATGTTTCCTAGCTTAGATCTATTTTTTTTTTAATAATTACAATATTTTTGGACATATTGTGATACTTCATGTGTTTTTTTCCTTTTTTTTATATGGAGGAGGTTTTTTTTTTCTTTTGTTTTGGGGGTGNTTGCCAGGAAGGTAAATTAGTTTGCTGCAATTAGTTTGGCACGTAACACCATTGAATTAATGTATGTTCTGAAAGTCTTCTCAGGGAGCTCAAATAAGGTGCCTTTAGTCCCCTTTAAGCTGGTACCCATATCTAGAACGGTTTATTCTTAAATAGGATTATCCACGAATTTTGCTATTGCCGGGTTATTCTGGCCTAGTTAGTTTTTTGGGACTAGGCATGATTTACAATGGAACTAATCTTGTATTGCGATTATGCCCTTGGCTATGAAAAGACAACTGAAGTTGAAAAAGTATTTTTAAATTGGTCACTGTTCACAGAGGAAGGGGTATAATTGCAGTCGGGAGGAAAGCGACACATTTTTTGGGTCTTTGCCACAATAGGCTCAAAACCAAGATATTACATTACACCCAAGAAGACCTTCGAAATCCATGAATCCAACTTGGTGCATTATTTGCGCAAACAGCAACCAGATCCGTAGTTTTCATATCGATGTCTACTCTGCAGAGTGCTATGGCAGGATTATTTTAGTTTTTTAAAGATTCTTTTGTGCTTCAATATTTTCAGTTAGTGAGTCTTAAATGATTACGACACAAAGGATGGTAATGTTCTAGCCAGTAAGCCAGGAGCTGTATGCTATTATATGGTATATTCTGGTAGAGAATAATTGTTAAATGTGCAAAGATCTTTTGGTAGAAAATGTGAACAATAGAGTAGCCATTCATTCTTCTTTATGGTCTAGACCAGCAGATCTGTTTCATGATATTGACCTGACAGTCTTAACGGGATTGGAGACTCTGTTTATCTTTCCAGCTGTACTTATGTTGAGGTCATCTAAATTTTTTTCTTTGTACACTTCTTTATCAATACTAATTGGCGAGGGTGCTGTCGGGGACTCGGGGTATGGGATGCTGAAAGTTTTGACAAAGGGCGAAATATGGTCTCGGTGCTAGTCTATGGGGGACTGGACTAGAATCTCCTTCTTCACCTCAGCTGGTCATTGTCCTGTGCCAAACATGGTAAAAGCTTCCATTTTATCAAAAATGCTAGTCGGTGTGAAACATATGATGTATATCTTATTCCGTTCGCTTGGGAAGTGAAGAAGTGCTGATCTTGCTGGAGCTCTTTTGTAAGGCTGGTGATTGATTCTAATAAGATATTCATCCCTCCATTTCATATGATACATTCCTTACTTATCACAAAATAACAATAATAATAACAATAACAATAACAATAACAATTTGGCCTATGAATAAGAAGAAGATACAAGTATGATACACTTTCCAATTTGGCCTATCCTGAAATATTTAACATGGTTTTAGAAGTAAATTAATAATTCATAAAGCTCCCTTTTATCAAATATTTTGGTTCATTATCCTTTCTGAAAAAAAAAAAAAAGGAGGAGGAGAAGGAGGAGAAGAAGGAGAAGGAGAAGGAGGAGGAATATGAATATGATACATGATACACTTTCCAATTTGGCCTATCCTGAAATATTTAACATGGTTTTACAAGTAAATTAATAATTCATAAAGCTCCCTTTTATCAAATATTTTGGTTCATTATCCTTTCTTAAAAAAAAAAAAAAAAAAAAAAAAAAAAAAAAAAAAAAAAAAACCATTTAAAGAGATAACACATAAATACCCCTCTCCACTAGTAGCAAGTGTCCAACTAAACACCTAAAATTTTGCGGGGATCTATTAACCCCCAATACTTGTTCAAAGTGGAATTAGTACCCTCTTGAGATGCCACACATTTGATAGTATTTACTTTCTTAAAAGCATGGACAGCTCTGTGCACAAAGCATCCCGCATTCATACAGGATCTGGGGAAGGGCCGTACCCCAGGGGTTTGATGTCAACAGATTATGCATGTTGAGCTTTTTTATCCTTCATATAAACAAACACCATATAACACCACCTTTCTACCCGGATTTGCCAAAATAGAGACTCGTTTCAGCTTCTTCCTCCAGATTCACAGAGCATTTCCCCTCAGACCATCTCCTTCAATTGCTCACTCGACACCCAGACAGTACCAAGATCTTCTCAGCTGGTCCTTTGAAAAACTTACCATAACCACTCTTTTTCTCTCTCACCCAAAAACAGCTCCGTACCTTCGTTCTTCCAACGGCAAAGCCATTGTTGGATCACAGAGTATATATCAAACACATACAGACCCATTTTTCATGACACTCACTTTCTCTCAAGAAAACCCTCGAAAGAAACACACTCACAACCCCATTTCCCTCATAAACACGATCCCCAATAACACCAACCCAGTGGATACGGAAGTTCAAGAGGACCAAGGGAGCTCTGGTGTTCGGGGTCTCACCACTTCGAACCATTTACCTGAGATCCAATCTTTGCTGCAAAATTAAGGGAGATTTCTTAGATAGAGTGGTGACCAGTGTTTTAAAAGGCGAAATTGGGGCGAGCCCCATGGCGGCGCGTAGCAAAACGCCCCGGAGAATCGTTTGACCCGCTGTTTTGTGCGTTTGCCTAGGCGTAAGGCGCGTTTTTGTCTTGGGCGTAAGCCCAAAAGACTAACCCAAATTGAAACGAAATTGTCCTGATAAGTCCTTAATTTAAGCCTAAATACTTACATTTCTTGCTGTTAAGTACTCAAAAGTAAAAGAAAAATTATCAAAAGCTTTTTTATGCTTAGCCGTAACTTTTTTATTTGTTCACTTTGTCTTCTTCTACCAAGGTGAATCTTTTCAAACTACAAAAGTGAATACTGATGCAACTTTTGTTGTTTCACAAGATGAGAATCCGGTTGAGAAGTTGCTTCCTCCTGAGCCAAAGAAACACAAGACCATTGAGATTAAATTTGTATGAGATGGAGTGGATAGTCTGTTTTCCTGACATAGGAATCGAAAGTACTCTATTTTGATGACTGATTATGATAAAATAAAAATAGTTTAGATCCAATGCTAGGAATACTAATCTTTTACTCTTTCTTCTCATTTCTTGCTGTATTTTCATATTTTTGAAGTATTATGAGTCCAACGTGAGAAACAGTATGTTGCTTGTAGTAGGCATTGGTTGGTTTCTTATTAATGCAGTGAAATGCTTGTATTAAAAAAGCAGTTTTATATACGTCTCCCACTTGTTTTATAATAATTTTTGATTTTTTTATAATTTCTATGTAATTTACCTTTTTTAAAAACTATTTCCAATTATATTATTTAAAAAATATTAAAAATTAAAGTTCCATGGGGCTTATACTTAGCGCCTCGGGGCTTATGCCCTCGCCCGATGACAGGTAAAACACCTCGTCTTGCACCCATGCCTTTAAAAACACTGGTGACAGGTGTTTTGGAGCGGTTAACACAAAAATTGTGCAAGTGTGGGTGACTGACACCGTGTTTGATCAAAATCTAGTTGCGATATTTGTTACCAAGTGATTTCTGTAGGAAAATGCATTTTTTTTAAAATCCCACTGAAATGAATAAGCCAATTAGTGATCATGGAGGATCTGGAGTCGCTTCACCATGGGAGATAGTAGTAAATTGTGAATATATTAGTAAATCGTGACAGGTGGAGTGATTTTTTTAGGGTGGGGGATGGTGGAGGAAGATAGAATAATAGAGAAAGAATCCAGAAAAAGGGAAAAAAGTGGAAGAAAATCGAGTGGTTAAATACAGCGCACATGTGCATGTATCTCACCGCTTAACACAAAATCTAGTTCTCATAAAGAGGGTATTCATTTCACTTTAAAAAAAGTCTAATGGGATAAAAGCACGCTCACAATGTTTAGGTGTATAGTTGGAATTTCGGAACAAGTTGAGAGGTTTCTTGTGTGCTATCCCATTTTTAAATTCATTTAAATTATTGAACTTAAAGCAGTGATGTGAAGTTTCTATGATCGCTCTAGCATGTCAACTATTTAAGATTCTTTTTCCTGTACTATTATTTCAAGCAAGTCATGCAAATTAAGACAAGGGAGGAAGATGTTCTTGCACTAAGCACTTATAGTCTGAGACATCTGGGGAATATCTAATTTTCTTTGTTTGTGAATTGAAGAGTTGCTATTCTTGATAAATCTTTTGTGGAAGTCTAGTGAATCATTACATTGGATTTGTGCTAATCAGTGTCATAAAGTGGGTAACTGACAAGTTAGCATGTTTTTCCTCGAAGTGATTTTCCATTAACCTCGAATCTAGTTAATTACCCAATTAATGACAAATCAATTCAAGGAAAAAGATGTTGACTTGTCGTTAGTCGAATCTTGTTAATTACCCAATTAAGTGACATTCCTCTCCTGGTTAGTATTTAGTGACAAGTATATTGGAACGACAGAAACCAGCGATTCCATGAAGGCAAACCTGACTCTATAATTAGGAATAAATCAACATGTATATTTTTGCCGATATGTTTGGTGTGAATCAGTTGGAACTACTAATGCAGAGGTCATTTTCCTGTTCGAATATCAATAGTGGCATTAGAAATTTTCTACTGATTTTACTCCAATGGATATCCCGGGATAGATCATCATGCTAAATGTTTTTGTACATGTAGTATGGATTAGTATTATGAAGGCCAAACATCTGATCATAACAAGGAGTGCATGGATTAATAAGGTTTTAGTTCTTTTCTATGGGAGTTCCCTTTTATTTGGGTGGCTGTCTTCTTATGCACCTTCACTGTTTTGGTGCCACTACATATTCTAATTAACTTCTGTAGTTTCAAATCAATTAGCTTTGGGGTTGGCACCTGCTCTCTTAGTGTTAGCCTTAGGTTGGCATGCGCTAATTTATGTAATCAGAAGGAAAAATAGTGCAGCGCAATATATTCCAATTTTATTTTGTTCTGCACCATATACTGTGTCCCCTAACAAGGTTTTCACTGGTTTGGTTGTTGCAGGATTATCGCTGTATCTCTGCACCTCTTCCCTTTTGTTGATATGTCAACTGCTGTATAGATTGACATTTTGAAGAACTTTTCTCAGTTGACTTGACTAACATATGAACGAGATCTTCTTTGGTTTTTTGCTCTCTGGTGCATATTGTCTCTTAGTGCTGCCACTTGTATAAAACTTACCCTTTCTTAAATTGACTAACATATGAATGTTGCTCTTCCTCATCTTTAGTTACTCCGTTGAAGGAGAAGAAATGCACAGGATATCCTGCATTAGACCGACGTTCTGCAAGAGGATGCAATTGTTTTCATGTTGCTTTGGTTGAAATTAACGGAAGTAAGCACGTATAACTTGCTTATTTATGATACTAGTCATGGATTTGACAGCTAATTTCAGCTGGAGAAGTTGCACTTGTGTTTTCCGTCTCATATTTCTCTTTTTTGATAGGTTTTTCTGTCCCATATTTCTAGGAGCTCCTACTGTTTTTCATCCTAGCTCAATAACTGGACCTTCTTAATATTATTATTTGGACTTGGTTATAATTAGTTGCTTTAAGCCTGCGCGTGGTTCTATCTAATTCTGCAGTGCCTGCGTACAAGAAAAGTAAAGACTCTCGAGCCCGCTTTTGAAGTCTCTGATAGTCGAGTGAAGTTCTTTTTCTTTGATGAAAACAGTCAGATGAAGTTTGTTCAATGATTTTGTTGGTAACGCATGATGGAAAAATGCATCTAAGCTTCATATCTATTTTTAGTTGGAGAAAGTGCTTTCATCTTTATTAACGGAATTGACTAGATCATTGGTGATAGATGGGCGCAGGGCGTATAAATTAGTCTATAGGTCAAGTCCTAAATTGACGATACTTCTGAGCCGGGAACTCGTTAAACAGCATGAAATCAAGATTTAAGTCCTGGACGGGAAAAGAGTACAAGGCAAATAGAGGAAGACCAATTAGATTCTGTAAAGTAAAGAAGCAATAGCTCAACACTCTGTTTCAGTTAAGTATTACATTTCAGGTTAAGCAGCAAACACCAAAACTTTGTGAACAATGTTTTGGGGTTAAACTGTCTCCATAACATGTTTTCTTCTTCATCAAATTAGAGAAGAAAGCACAGAACCCAATCGCCCAAAAGTTCCATTAAACAAAATATGAGGAAAAGCAATCTGTTGGTGAAAGAAAGGCAAGGATAAATAACCCCCAGCAAAAGCAAAGAAAGAAATAATTGGAGAAAAAATAAGAGAAAGAAATATTAAAGTAATACAACTGTTAGTAAATAAAGTATAGTTAATTAAAAAGTCTAAATTAGGTAGCTTATCTAAATTCCCAAAAGTATTTACAACATCCTGGGAATAGAAAAGGTGACTTGGCACCTCTCGGCGAAGGATTCTATTTATCCTTTTTCTCCTTTTATTGCCTTTTTTTCTCTACTTTTTTATTTATCTAATCTAATAATAAGAATAAATGTTGTAGTTATAAGATTAAATATTTCATTTATTACTACACTAATTCCTATTCCTTACCGTTAGAAAGACAAAAGTCTCTATCATTAACATTCTAAATAATTGCACATTGAATGGCTACTGTAACAGAATATTTAACATGCACTTTAATCACAGAATTTAATCAAATTAATAATCAGTTGTTGCTTTGATCAGAATGCCCAAAGGTCTCATCATGAATTTTGCCTTACACTAGAAAGATCAAAAGTCTATTTAGAAACAAATTAAAGCAACAGGATTTGGAAGCTAACGGGAGATTGTATGTCATAGTCATCTTTGGTCTTTGCTAGAGTCTGGTAATATTCTGGAGATGCCTTAAGGTTCGTCACTTCCGCAAAAGCTTCCACTTCAAGATTTTGGGCTAGAAAACTTGGGTTTCAGTTCTTTGAAAGTATACAAAGAAACTTCATGGAGTTTCCTTTGTGTTAACAACAAGAAACGTCAAGGAATTTGAGAATTTTCCTTAAGTAAATTATTAGGTAGAATAAACTGGCTGGTGAAGATTTTTCATGTTCTTTTCCTTTTTGAAATAATACGTTCTTGGAATCCTGCACATCATCTTCCTTCTGTCTTAGAAAAAGAAATCCTTTTTATTTGATCAAAGACCGTAACGTTATTATTTAGAGGTATTCATAGTTATTAGTAAGAGTTTTTCAATGTCAATGCAGAACAAACACTTTATAACAAAGATATGAAGACTCATACATACACACACAGACATATATATTACTACTATTTAGAAATGACAGTTAAATGTTTGTCATGGGACGAACATTGGTAAAATAGAAATTACAAATGTTTATTATGGGCATTTGTGTATTTTGGTCTTTGATTTAGCCCTTTCACTCTTCAATTTCCGTTACACTTAGTTGGTCTTTATGTTTTGGTGGGACACCTATCTTTAACTTCCATTGTTCCTACATCCGCGTTAAGCACTTCTAATTTTACTCTTGATTTTCCTGCTTTCCTTCTTCTTCATGCTTTTTCTTCTTCTTCACTGGATTTTCCCTATTCTTAGTTTTGCTGTTTTTTTCCTTTTGGTTCTTGGAAAATTGCAAGCTCCAGTCCAAGGTTCTTTTTCTATGTTTATTATTGGCTATTGCATGTAAGTAATTTTTATTTTTATTTTAATGACAATTTGAGATTTTAATGTAAGATTTGAAATTGTATTTTAAGAATTCAATTTGACCAAACAACTGAAAGGCACATAGGGTTTTCTGGAGTGCAGGAGAAAATAGATGAAGGCTGCAAAGAATCTGCTTCATAGTGATATGTGGGCGGCTCATATAAGAGGTAATGGAGGAGCTTTCTACTTCCTAAGAAAACTATTAACATTCCTTTTGGGTTACTTCGATTTTTCACAACGATTATCATGGTTTTGGTTAATTGTATTTCAATTTTTATAGTAGTGTAAGGTTTCAGGATAATAACCTTACAAAAATGCATCTTCTGATTTCTTTTGGCGTAAATTAGGTTCAATTTGGTTTTACTTTCATCATGTCCAGTTCATATCTTCTTCTTACGTGCTTATGAATATTTTTTTCTTTTATTTCTCTACCCCTTTCTGTACTTGCAAGGTTCTAATTTGTCACTGATTTGCATAGATCTAATATCTTATAGATGTTGTCTATTTAGTTCCTTCTCCTCTTTCTTCTACTGTTCTTCCTACTTTATTTTTACTTTGTTCACATTTTTCCTTGTAATTTAATATAAAGCTTTCTTTAAATTAATATGGGTTTTACATGGTCAATATTTAGACATGATCTACACTGATACTTAGGCCAAATAAGTCCTTGAGAAAATTCAAAAAGAAAAACGAAAGGCGTACTGTAAGATAAATAGGGTGAAATATCCGTACAAAACCAAAAAGAGATATTTTTGGGTTTGGTTATAGCACATGCAGCGTGCGAAGTGCCAACTGATTCCCTCAACTTGCAAATTGCAGGTCCTTCATTTTTACCATAACATGAGAGGAGATAATGGTGTTGTTGCTTTTTCTGAACTTGTGAAGTACTCTCCAATGTTTGAGGACTTAAGGTGTCATCTACAATGATAGAAAGGTGTATACTCCCTTTTACAAGCAGTTGCCAAGTTTGAAGTAGATACTCTTTGCAATAAGCTGGGATGATCCTTTTTGAAACAATAATTGGTACTTGAATTATATGGGATAAGCTAATTTATTTTATTATTGTGTTACAATTACTAAATTTCATGGTGTGTTTATGTGAAATCTTTGCAAAATTCTATTGTTAGATTATGAATTTCCTATTGAAATTAAGGTGCATGTCATTACATATACTCTACATTCTCACTGCACCAACAGGAAAGGACAATATGTGGATATTTTGCCTAGGGATCTTTCTTTATGAGGTGCTTTATAATGTCTTAAGCAAGTCACATGACCCTCCTTTTTAAAACCAAAATCAAATGGGAAAAGTCACTTGGATCTTTAGTCTTGCTATTTATCTATTACTAGCAGGATTCTGACTAACTTACTAACTTTTTTCATGTATGTGTGTATCTCTTTCTCTGGTTGTGAACAGAATTATGAACTATCTGACTATGTTTTTATCCCTTAAGAAAGACTACTTTATCATCGACATTTGTATATCAACAAGAACCTTCGACGGTATTTTACATGGGTGTTACATTGACAATACATAGAACTATTCACTATAGATCTATATTTGCATTATAGTTAAGCTGCCCTTTTCTAACAGTCTTCTGAAACTTGGACTTATTAATGATTCATATTTTGCTGATGAAATATTTCAGACTGTACGAAATTCCGCCTACCAACAGAACATGACAGATAAAAACGACAACTGCTGTTATAGGCTTCTCACCTCAAGAACCATCTCCACAGTCAACAACGGAAGCTTAAATGGAAATGTAAGGTTTCCTTCAATATCATTTGATTTTGTATGGATAACACTGCATAATGATTGTCTGGTATGGGCAAACCTGCAGAGAAGAGGTTACACCTTATGCAATAGATGTTACCTTTGCCTTTTTTTGCACTGTCCATTTTTATCTCAGCTATCTGGTGTGGGTTTTGAATGAGTTCAAATTTAATTAAGATGAATTTGCTTCATATTTGCTATTTTTGCATCAAAGTGCTATTTCTTGGTGAAGATCAAGCAACAAACAATAAATCATTTATTATGTTTAGTAATATAGAGAAGACTTTCCATAAAATTTCCATCTTTGGTAGCTATCTATTCTTCATTGTCATTTTATTAATTAGGTACTGGTCACCTGCAATCTTAATTTGCTTTTGAAGGAACATAAATTTGTGTGTTATCAGTTGTTTAAGATTAATTAAACTTGGTAAAACACAGTTTGAAGCTTGGCTAAAAATGAAAGGAAAATATTTCTCATTTCCCTTTGCTTCCGTTAAATGATTCTGTCCTTTTCTTTATCAAGTAAGCATAAATCATTATGCTTTTACTGATTACTGGTACATATTAGCTTTAGCATGCTTTATTCTTTCATCACTTGCACTCGAACCAGGTAATCCTAACATGGTTATGGTACTTGCTTTAAATTAGGCAAATAGTTAAAAGCAATTGAAGTTGCAGCACAAGTTAGTCTATATCATTCTTTCATTGCATCATAATATTATATTTCGTACATGCTAATCCGTAGAAACATAGAAAGAGATAAGTCGTGGTTGTATATAGTAGTGAGTTATTTCAATTAAAACAGTATATTCTCTTTATAGTTTATGATTAGACTGGTATAGGATTTTTTTTAATGTGGTATTCTGATGTAAGCAACAGTCATGGGAAAAGTACCAATTAGCAATAAAATGCTCCACAAAAAGGTACATAGAACAAAGCTCCAATTTCTTACCAACTGATAATAATATTCTTACACATTAACAGAAGGATTTTTACGCTAGAATATAACGCTGAGCAATCTGTCTTTCTCTAAAGAACATTTCTCCATACATTATATAATTAAACTGAGAACCTTTTAGTAAAAGAGGCATAGATAATTGATTTTAAACATATATATTCCTAGATTGCTATGAGTCTTCTGCAAGGGTTAGTTTGATTTGAGTCTAGCTAGATTCCTAGATTGTACTTGAATTTACAGTTGCAGGTAATTTGAGAGTTCAAAAGGAAAATGATTTGAGATGGTCGAAGATGGACTTCCATCAATTTATCAAGTGCAATGATTAGAAAAGTTTTGTTACCTTAACAGTTTCCCAGTACTCTTTGCTAAATACCTTAGCTAGACTCAAATCAAACTAACCAACCCAAGAGGTGCTACCAGAAGCTGGCTGGGAAGGATGATGAGAAAGAAACATAAGCCATTTGGAACACTGTAGCTGTCTGCCTAGACATTCTTGAAAGAATAACAACTGATGGATTGCCGAACCGTCAATATGAAATTGCTGTATATTGCTGCATCTATTATTTTGCTACGTTTTGTATCTTTTGTAACTCAAAAGATGTAGCAGCACCTACTTGGTGTTGATTAAGCATTGATTACTTATTGAAAAAATATTTTGAAATTTGTTGTAGTGTTGGGCCCGTGCTCTGCACGGGCTGCAAGCAACTAGTACATATATATATGGGAGATGGCTTTGGAAATGGAAGGAGCGCAGAATTGCTTTGCGCGCGGCTCAAGAGTCAAAAGTACTCTTTCTGTTACTTCATATTGTTGGTGCAAAAGTGGACATATCACATACCTACTTCTATATCATTTATTCTTCTATGATATGAATTTGCAGTGGAAGGGACTCTTGTGCAGAGGTAAATCAGGATTCAGAATCATTTTTTTCTGTGTCAATAATTTGTGTGTATCACTTTCGTTAATTTTTCCATTACAATCTCTCTATTAGAGTAATTTTTTTATTCTCTTCCCATTCCATAATTGATGTTTATTACTAATATATTAGTACATTTGTAATATCACTAACGATAAAGAAATGGTTTGTCGCTTAGGTACACATGTCCACCATCCACGGCTTATTTCCCACAAATCCAAGAGAAATCCATTAAAAATCGGACCTCCTTTACAAACAGGATTCGAGCTTTATGAACAGTCTTTCTGCATACCACAACCTCTCATATGCTTAAGACTTTTAAGTCCAGGATGCAACATCGAGGATGCAACATCGAGAGAGAACTTATGTACGTAACATATTTTGCTCTTTATATAATGAGCGTTGGAATAACTTCCTTTACATTTTGTTCTATTTCTTAAAATTGTGCTTCTGCGTCTTTCCTAATGTTTGTTCTATTTTTTAACTTTTGGTATTATATTACATTTGGAAAGAGTTTATGTGATCGCGCGATCAAGTTAACTAGTTAGTGATAGAAGTTGAAGATCCTTGGAAACTTTATATTGTCGAATTCAACTTTGATTTAATCAAATGCCTATGCATTGTGCACTTTTAAGTTAGTCGATCAAACTCTATATTAACTAGACAATTACAAAATATATTCAAATATACATGTATATACATGATGAGCAGCTGCATAATAATATACAATAAATAGACCAACTGAATTCTATGGTGTATATACAGTTGAAAAATAAATAAAATTTTAAACCAATTCCAAACTCATTATCACAAGAAGAGAAGTGGGTGCAATGGTAATTAAAAATATCCATGAATAATTTGTATAGTCTATTACATTTAGCATTCACATAAATAGTAATTTCTTAAAATAGTGGAGCAAGAAGAACAACAAGTTATTTAAAGAAAAGGAAATTGGGAGATTTTGGATTACCTAACAGATCACTGGGTAATTTTTAAAAGTTTGCTGATAGTAGGGGTAAATTTATCCTGTCAGTATAACGGTAGGGGTAAATTTGGCTGGATAGTATAACGGAGGTTAAATGTAGACAATATCTGAAAGTAGAGGAGGTATATTTGGCCGTATTCCCTAATTTTATTTTTTTGTTCTATTGTTCAATTAATAATTATATTGTATTATTCTATATGATATCTCTATTCTTTGTCGTTCATTGTACCTAAAGAGAGGAATATTGTCCTTTTTGTGATTTATTGTGATATATTGGAACAATATTAGAAGTTACTATTTAAGTTTTGCAGAAGCTTTTTGTCATTTTAACTTATAAGTATTTATTCTTTTGCATTTTTAGGTTAGAACTTAAATTTAAAAAGTATGAAAAATATTTTTTAAAGTAGTGGGCCGGCCTTGGGGCCCGTAGCCTGCATATGACTGGTTGGGCTGGCCATTTTAAGGCCCACCGAAAGGTGAATTGGCCCGACCCAACCCGTCAAATACAAAGGCCCGCAAGTAAAATGGCAGAAATAGGACACAACAAGTGATGTTCTTTAACTTTTTTTGGGACTTCAAGGTCGAAAGTTAAAGGTTTTGTCACATGGGGAAACTTGTTAAATTTTAAAGTTTTTCCCATTGTTCAGGTGACCTGCTCAAAGGTCAAAAGTTCAAGACAAGCTCCTTTCAAGGTCATTTGTATCATTGACTCAGGTCCGCGTGGGCTCCATTTTGAAGCTCTAGAATGCATGGGTAAAGCGGACGCTATAGATTTTCAAAGGAGAATAAGCTGCCAATCAGTAATGAGTTCATTTGTGTGTATGTTGTGCTTGCAATTAACTCAATTATTTTAATTAATTCATTATTACAAGAAGCTGTTGGGGTGATGTTTTCGTACATGTACAAATATTGATGGCGATGATGGAAATCACTATAGTAACTTTAGATAGAGATAACATGTAGAGGCCAACAGCTACAGCCTTTCTTGACGTTGCAGCATGTAAGAGAGCATATTTGGAGTAATGCTGGACGCTACTTTCACTTTGCTTCCTCAACAATCCTCAACCACTTCACCTTCTAATCATGTCATGGTATTACATTATGGTAAAAGTGCTGCTTAAATTAACTGGAGTACAATCATCCCCCTCTTTTCATCATTTCATTTTGATCATTGTATTAATGTTAAATTATTGCCCTCCCCCTCTGTTTATTTGTTAAGAAAGCAGGTAAATGCCAACTATTTCGAAAATAGTGAATCAAGAAGAAGAATAAGTGACTTAATTAAAATGATTTGAGAGATTATGGGTCACCTGATGGACTGAGGGGTAATTTTTAAAAGTTTGCTGATGGTAGGGGTAAATTTGGTCGGATAACGGTAGGGATAAATTTGGCCAAGTAAAATAACGGAGGTTAGATGTAATATTCGAAAATAGAGAGATAAATTTAGACCTTTTCCCATAAAATTGAGAGGGAAAAAAGATCGTCTGGTTAGAGCTAGATTTTGGAGAATACGATAGCAATGGAGTAGATACGAAAATGAAAGCTGAGAAAAAGCGACTCTTATTTTTAGAGTTTAGGAAATTAAGGTTTTTATTTTTTACTTATTTCATTAGTTTATTCAACATAACTTTGTAATTTAAATTTAAATTTTAAGACTATGGTCTTGGAGCTTCGTAATATGACAAGCTTAGTAGACTTTGAGTTCGGGCTTTTTTTTTTTTAAAAAAAAAAGTTTTAAAAATAAATACTCCATCCGTTTCAAAAAGATTGACACTATTACCATTTGGGAAGTTTACGAGGTTGTTCTTTGACCACGTTTTTTTAAATATTCTAAAATATTTTGAATTATAAATTGTTATGACTTATAATACTTTTTATGTAATTTCCGAAAATATAAATTTTATTTACAAAAACCTGAAGAATATTTTGAATTTTAAGTACTTTAACCCTCATACTCCGATCTATGCCAATCTTTTTAAAATAGAGGGAGTATTTTTTATTTGGCCCTCGGGACCCAGCCCATACTTGTCCAAGCCTCATGGCTCGCTTATTTGTGCCACCTAAAAAAGTCTCGTTCTTAGATGATACCGAGCGTTCACTTAACATATGAGTGAGTGGAAAAAATTCAAAGAGATACTCTTCAAGATGAATCAATGTCGCACGATAAGGAAAGAAAGATAAGAAGTTTATCCTAGATGCCCTATAGCCTCTCGAACATAGGTATGGACGTCATCATACCGATCCGCAAGACTCTACTAGACACTTGCTCATGACTCGTAGAACCTATGAACCTAGAGCTCTGATACAGATTTGTCACGACCCAAAATTTAACTAGACGTGCTGACACCTAACCCAACCCGCTAGGTAAGCCAACTAACATTCAACACAATCCAAATGAGATTAATAAGAAAATCAATGATGAATTAACCGAACTTTAACACAATAATCTAAGGACTGGTAGTACAAGTCACGAGCCACTAAGACTTGGATTTACAAAACTGCTATAAAATAATACATCTGTTTGGAATATACATAAATAGAATTTAAAATCTAAAACTACAAAGGACAAGTGATAGCTATATCCGGAAGGTAGGTACATCTTCAATGCCAGCTCCTGCCATACACAGCAGCATCAGATCCCAAATCTGCACTCAAGGTTGCAGAAGTATAGTATGAGTACAACCGACCCCATGTACTCAATAAGTATCATAACTAATATCGACGAGGTAATAGAAGCAAGAATTATAAATGATACTCACCAGTCACCTGTACAAGTTCATAAATTTCCAACAAGTATAGAACAAATATGTGAACAAATCTGGAAAACATATATAAAATCACCTTGATGCTCACAATTCTTTTTAAAGTGTTTTGCTCGGTCAACAATCCAACATATAAGGAAGATATGCAAATAATCAGGTAGACAACTAAGGAAATTGCAAGTAAAAGAAAAATACAATAACTAAGTACCAACCCATTGCAGCGCACAACCCGATGCAAATAGAAATCTCATCACGGCTCTCAGGCCCATATCAAAATCTCGATAACCGAACCAAACCAATAACCAGCTCTCCCAGAGCTCACATCAACCAGAAAACCGTCGGTTTCTCATAATCCGCATGTACACCATCAACAGAGAAACATGAGAGGGTGACCCTAGGGGGATGGATCCGTATCCACACGCTGCACGACCAATTCAACGAGCAGCACGGACAACTCACGTGCTAATAATATCAACCGTACAGACAACACACATGCTGCACGGGCAACTCATGTGCCATAATAGCAGTATCTAACTCCGTACAACTCACGTGCCATACGGATAACTCACGTGCCAATAATCACAATTCGCTCGGCGTGGTCACAGGCTCAATATCACAATCCACCCGGCATGGTCACATTCATAACAACACAATTCGCGCGGCGTGGTCACAAGCATAACAACAGAATGCGCACAACGTGGTCATAGGCATAACAACAAAATCCGTCCAGCGTGGTATAAGTGATGCATGTGCAAATTTATAAGAACACATGTATATGATCAATGAATATCAGATTTCATGCTCCTGGACTAGTATAAGTGACATGCTAAAGTGTATACATGTGCAAAGTATGCTATTATAGCTCAAATCGGTAATTACATCACGAAAATAGCAAATATCAAGTTCAATAAAGAAATTAGCCTCTATGTAGCCTCAAAATATGGATCAAATAGCTCACAACAGAGTTACAAATATAAGAAACATCATAGCTTAAAGCTTAACAATCAACTCAAGGCGTTCCATAGCCCTTCACTATCCCGAGGATGGATAAATACAGCGGTGCTCGCACATGGGCTCAGTCCCCACACATATGCGCACCCATAGCACACTATCACAAATAACTCAAGCAACTAGTTCCTCAACCAAGTTTAGGTAAGATACATCCCGCATGAATCAACCTCCGAACGGTCCGAAACTAGTCAAAAGTAACTCAAAAACATCAAATAATGCCTTAGGAAACAAATCCAAGCGATAAAGGTCGAATCTTTAATCAAAAACTCAAAGTCAACCCAGGACCGTATCCCAGAACCCGACAAAACTCACAAATTTTGACAACCCATTCAATTACGAGTCCAATCATACTAATTTCACTCAAATCCGACTCTGAATCGATGTTCAAATCTCAATAATTCACTTTAGGAAAGTTTAGACACAAACCCCCAATTTCTCCTTTAGAATCATCAATCAAATGCCAAAATCGAAGAATAGAATCATGTAATATAATCAAATCCGAGTAGAAAATACTTACCCCAATCCATGTGATGAAAATCCTCTCCAAAATCGCCGAAAACCAAGCTCTAAATCCCAAAATGTCAATAAAATAACTCAACCCTCGAATATATAGAACCTACCTAGACACATTCGCATCTGCAAACAAATAACCACTTTTGCAG